TCCATGAGGTGCAAATATCAAGAAAGTTAAACTTAATGAATACAACAAATTAATAAATTTGCATGATTATGAGTGGATATGCCAACTAAAATAAGTTTAAGATCTACTGATATTAAAGAAGTTCCATATACTCTCCTAACTTTCAAAAAAGCTATATCGAACCATTTGTTTATTTTGACCAATGTGCTAAATTTAGTAAATAAATCTAAATCTATTTACTAAATTTAGTAAATAAATCACCTGGTAAAATAGTCTTACCAATGCATTCTATCAATTTTTTACCTAGAATATCTATATAATTTTTTATTTTAACAAACTTAAATTTATAGGTGTATTTTTTCATAAATTAAAATAATTCAGGTTAAGTAGGTCACTAGCTATCTCATATGTCAATTTTTAATAAATATATTATGAATATATTAACAATACACATATGAACAGATTATTTTCTATAGGAATAGGCAAACTTTAGGGAAGGGACTTCCAACACCTAATTTCTCACAGAGAAGACCTTATTCTTATAGTAAGATTCACATATTATCACTAAGATTAACTAAATATTAACTACATGGATAAAACTTTACATGTGCATTATGTTATCACCAAGGTGTCTAAGGTGACGTGAATAATAACCATTGTATTAAAACTGACAGTTCAAGTATATTATCAGAAAGGTGTCTAAATTTTCTGGAGGAATATTTAATTTTTTCATGCAATGTAGTTATGTTAATATATTAGAAGCAGCCACTGGTATTATTACAAATCACTTAGTGATTTAGCATAATTAGCATGGCAAATGCTAGTAGGTTTAGCATGATTCACCTATTCCATTCTATACTTACTTCTCATGCTGTGCGTGCACACACACACACACACACACACACACACACACACACACACACCATTAGCATAACCTTAATCTAAATTAGCTAAAACATAAAAGTTAATGTTAATATTATTAATTTACTGATTTTCAAAATTTAGAGTACTTATATTATAAGACAGGTGTTATTTAAATACTCAGTATATATAAGATTTTGTGCTAAACATTATATATTCATTTTCCTACTTATTCTTCACACAAAACCTAAAGTTGGAGATTGTTATATTTATTTTGGAAATAAAGCTATGAACAACATAGCTTAACTATTTTCATTATTTTCTTCTACAGATGGAAATTTTAGGTTAGAACACAGTTTCTTCCCTACACTTTCCACTATTCCATGCTGCACAGAAATACTGTTGTTTTAATAGATGACCTCAAAATTTCTGCCTCTTGTGAGATTCTGGAGCTACATATGATAATACAAGCCAGAATCTAACTTGTAACTGTAAAGTCAGATGTTTCTTCAGTTAAATGTGACCCAGTTAGTAGGATAATACTCAGGATTCCCACAGAAGACTACATTAAAATAGCCATTAAAATGCTGCATTGTGGTCATCAGATCATCAAGCTAGTTTTGCTAAATTAAGAAAAACTTACATTAATTTTATTGATTTATATTATATATTATTTTAAAAATGTAAAACAATACACATTCTTTATTTGATTTTCCAAAGTTTCTGTTCTCTGTTAATATATGAATGCCACTTAAATGTCCCATAATGATGGTTGCTACTGTTTTCTTAAAGAGTCTAACAATAATATATGATGCTTGACTGATACCTAATGTGGGTTTCTTAAGCAGGTTCCATTAATTCTGTGAGCTTGTATGCAGAATTATATGTGTGTAAAATTCATTGACTATTATGTGGTAGGTATTGTTGAAAAGATTTTACATATGTAAATACTAAATACCTTAATTTAAGGTAATATGGATAATTGGGTAATTTTAAGAATATATCAATCTATTCTGTATTCTTGCCTATAAGTAGATTGTATTGAGTATTAAGCTACACACTTGATGATAGGATTTCAACAGTTGAACTTATGGGCTTCATTCAATATTTGGACTTCTAAAAAATTTCAAAAATACTAACAACTTATTAAACCTGGTCTCAACACAAAAGATGAAGTTAGCTTTTATAGGTGGTGGGGATAGGGGGAAGTATAATTTTCCAGACAGCAAGCATCCATGATTACAATCCTCTGATTTGATTCTATTATTGGCTGAATATAGATTAATGTACTTGTCTCCACTGTTCCAATGTATAATGCATGAACACGATTACTGGGGTAATTTAGAAACAGGATGCCTTTAATCTTCTGCTCAGAACAATCAATTACAATACATAGGTTATAAAATGTTCTGTGATTTTACACTGAATTCTTAATAGAACTAATCTTAAAGCTAAATGAAGTTGGAAAATATGTGAAGCCCACAGAGCTTACTCATATGTAACACAGATAATGAAACTTTAACCATCATATGTTTAATTAACCAACCCAAACAAACAGAGACCACTCTGAAAGTTGTAGAGAAAGAGAGAATCCTTCAGGGACCAGGAAGCCACTATTCCTCTTGAAGAAGGAAAGTGGAATTCAAGGGTTTCCAGACTTAATATTGTGTGAACGTTGGTATCAGACTCATAGATACATTATTCACAGTTACCTTCCACATATCAATACATCTTGCTATATAACAGATAAACTTTGTGTTTTAAGCTGTATTCATAAATACCTATTACCTTATAAAGGCAATATTCATTTACTGTTTATATGTGATTATTTAAGAAGTATTAGCCATATGACCTTGCCATAACTTACTGTCGTATTATTATGCTGTGAAACCCTAATTGCAATGAAACTTTATAGATGAAACCTTAATTAAATCCAAGCAATATGCAGTTTGTTCAATTTTCTCGAGTTTTTGATGCACTTAGGAAGAAAGGTGAACTTGGGTTTCGTTAAGAAGAAAAGTGTTTTATAAATGGGGTGTAAGTAGCACTCTACACTTCTGTATGTATTCGGTGGAGAAAAGTGGTGTATGTGGACAAAGTAGGACCATTTTTCTGAATTTACAGTTCTATTATCTGTGGTTGGTTACAGGCAGAGAGCAATTGCTAACGGCAAAGTCTGAGTCAGAACCATGGACAGCTCCGTACGTTCAGCACCTGGGAGAGAAACTCTGTCGTCTTGCACGCCAAGCTGCAGCCAGAGAACAGAAAGAAAGAATGATCCACTTATAAAGACAAAAAAAAAAAGGGAGAGTGGGGGAGAAAATTAAGCCATACATTGGAGAATTGTGCCTTTTTATATTCTGACAGAGGCAACAGTACAGATTCAGGAAAGCTTAAGCTACCGTAACTGCCTAGGCATTGTCATAGGTTGCTTCTTTTTAAAGTGAAGCTAATTGACCATAAAATTCAGCATTCCTAGGCAACGCCTTCCGTTTGATTCATTTTCATTACTCTGATATGAAAGAGTAAGAATTGCTTAGATTCTTGTGTTTGTTTGCATTTTTTTGGTTTGTTCGCAGTTTTTGGAGCAGAAAATAAAAGTTGTATGTTTATTTCCTTATTATTTATTATAATCCACATGATTCACCCTCCTAAACTAATCCTGCTTCTCAGCCCTTCTCAGTTCCATCCTCATTATTTCACTTCATATTTGAGGCTGTAACTGAGAAAATATGAACCCTGCTGACTCAAGGCACAAGCGAAGCAGGCTAATGGGCTGCAAGAACCCCCAAACTATATCATACAATGACATGTTTTGATTGGGATTTCTGGACCTTTATTGCCAGCTGGAAAGGAGAGATTTGTCCCTGTTCTACTTGTGTAAGTTGAAGTGGTGGCAAATTCCATTTAGAGAAAGAGAGGTGGAGAGGGGCTATTAGGTAAAAAGGGGAGATGACATAAAGGAAAAAAAGCAAGAAAAACTAGAAAAACAACTTTGAAAACAGGCTTTCCTGGTATGGCTTGTCACGTTTGTTTTCCTAAGTCTCCAGGAAGACTATTTGGACTGGAGTGTATGTATACCCTGGGATTCCCACGTTGGCAGCCTCTGAGAAACAAACGAAGAGGACCCTTGAACCCTTTCCTACCCTAAACAAGATGATTTGCTATAAATGGTAAAGGGGAGCAGAATGATGTGGCCAGTGCGTTCAGGAATGAGTGGCATGGGAGGTCACACCAAGGCTGGTAACTCTTAGCTCCACCCACCTTTTGTTCCTTCCCCCTGGCGCCCGGCCTCGCCCATTTCAAACTCTTTCCTTGTTTTGTGCCAGTCGCTCGCACAGTCTTTGCCCTTCTCATCTGTGGCTTTCTCATTTTCTCTCGCAGCCTCCAGCACCTGGAGACCCAATCACCCCCAACACTGCAACCCCCTCGGGGGCTCGGGCAGCGAATCTGGGCATGCTCGGCGGCGCGGGCAGCTTCGCTCTTCCCAGGCGCGCCTCAGCGCCGGGCAGGGACCCGCGTGCCCATTCAGTTCTGGCTTCAGCGCCCACCCTCGCTGAGCCCAGGGATCCAAGCTGCGCTCTGAGGCTAAACCTACACCCTTAAGTGGCTCCTCCTCGATCTTCAGCCTCCCAAGCGCCAGCCCCAGAGCTTACACACATCCCTCATGGAAGGGACTGTTTTCCCACCTGTCTTTTCTTTGCAGCTAAGGGTGCTTTAGCTACTGCGGCGTGAGGAGCTCAGGGATGGAGCCCTGTGGCTGGTGGCCATGGAGATCATTTTCCCAGAGTAGCTGTTTGTCACTGAGTTTTGGAGATTTCTTGGCTGGCTTCCGCTAAAGCACGCTTGAGTAATCCGAGCTGTGGCGGCGCCCAAGCTCTCGGGATAAAGGGAGTGTGTGTGCTTGCGCGTGTGTGTGAGTGTGTGTATGTGTGTGTGTGTGTGTGTGTGTGTGTGTGTGTGTGTAGGGGGATAGGGCGGGGATAGAAACGTCAAACACCCCCCCCCCCCCCCCCCCCAGCCTCCTTTTCTTTCTCCCCTTCCTGCAAAAGCCGCAGAAGTCTTCCATCCCCCCTCAGCCACCCTCGCGGCTCTGGGCCCCCGCCAGGTTAAGCCCATTTGCACTGGGAAATTGGCGCTGTTTGGGAGAAGAGAAACAGATCGATTGCCCTTGTGACTCCCCGCCCCCCTTCCCACCCCACCCCCTCCGCTCCCTCCCTCCTTCCCTCCCCCGCCACCTCCCCTCACCCCGCCTCCTGCCCTCTCCCCACCCCCAAACCCTGTCGCCCGCGGCAGTCCGGTGCGAGGCCCCCTCCGGAAGGTGAGGGGATGGACTGGACTCCGCTGGGGAGAGCGGGCGTCTAGAAGTGGTGCTAATGGGAAGAGGATTCTGGCTTCCGAAGAGGATGCGCTGCCACAAAGAGCGGCTGGCGCGCCGGCCTGGGCTCTAGCGGAGGAGAGATCCCGGGAGAACTCCGGAGCTCCGGGGGAGCGCGCCTCCGAAGACCGGGGCCAACATGCCTGTGCGCAGGGGGCATGTGGCACCGCAAAACACATTTCTGGGGACCATCATACGGAAATTCGAAGGGCAAAGTGAGTTCATTTGTTCTTTTCTCTCTCCCTCGCTCTCCGCGTCGGCGAGAGCGCTCGGCGTCCGCCGCGGGCGAGCTGGGGAGCCCGGCAACTCCGGGCTCCGTCAAGTTAGACGCGGGGAAACCGAGCCGGGAGGCTCCGACGGCGGCGGAGTGTGCTCCCTCCGATATCAATTTCGATTTACATTTTAGATTACGGTCTCCATTATAGGAGGCAACTTGATCCTCCTCTGCCACTGCTCCATTATCTGCCTTGCTACTTAATGTCCTACTATTCTACTATCTTAAAGGGATCGTGCTGGTACAACACGGGGGGTTTATATTTTGAGGCTGTTTTACTGTAGACTTTTTGAAAAGTCGGGAGCAGAGCAGACCACACTTCTATTCGAACAAGACAATGTAAAAACGGCAGTAGCGATGTAAATGGCTATGCAAACTATACTTTGCCTTGGCTAAATTGCAGGGCTGTGGTATGACAGGGATGCTCGCTCGCTGTTAGTTTATGGAAGCTAAACTTTGTATTGAATCAATGCAAATATATCCCAAGCAGGATAATTTGGGAATGGAGTATCTATCTCCTCTGTGCTGGTTCCCAATGCAAATGGCTCGTTATTCAAAGGAATATTTCTGTCCCTTTATTATCTCCTTACATTTTCCATCTAGAAATTTAAAAATTGAAGTGTAATAAGTAAATTCCACAGACACTGAATGTAGAAAAATTTAATGTTCTCATGTGGGCTAACTACGTGGAATGAATTGTTGTAAAATAAATCTATTAATTTAAAATTATATACTTGTTAATTAATATTTTACTTTTTCCTAAAACTATGTTAACACGTTTATGTCATATATTTTGCCATTCCCTCAGCACTGCTTTTAGTGATGTGAGGATCTGGTACCTTGTGTACAAAATAAACTTGTATAACCTGCTTCGTATTCTATCTGGAAGGAGTAAATATAATCTGTGATCAAAATTAATAAGCTCTTTGTATTAAAATTCCTACTCCTATACAAAAATTTAAGGTTCTCCTAAAGTAAAAGTGAAAAGGTGTTAACATGATATTTACTGTATGTGTATGTGTAAATATTTTTTCTTTTGGAAAGTATATATTATGAAATGGTGAACCTTTGCATTGTTGAACTGCCAATAAATGTGAAGTAGTTTCATTGCTAAAGCTAGTTGCCTTTTTTTTTCTAACATGATGTGTGTAATATACCTTAAAGGGATAGAAAACAGCCAAAGAATAATAACTACTTTGAGAAAGTTGTGTTCTAAGGGCCAAGGTTGAAGTGAGAAATCTGACAACTACAGGATGTTTCACTGTTTTGTTTTGAAATTATTTACCTTACAATTAAGTGGCATTCTGGAAATATCAATGGGCCAGGTGCTTATCTGAGTGTCCCCTAGGACCCCTGGGAGTTGCAGGGATTGAGAACTAGACTATTTGGAAAATTATATTCTTGCAGTTTGAAGAGCGGTTCCTTAATACTTTTTCATTAAAATTACTGAGGACCGTTAAGCTCACATTTAAAGTTTGTGGGCTGTGAGAGTGTGTGTGTGTATTTTCCTTTTCTTGTAAAAGCCACAGCAATTAGTAATCTGGGGAAGCACCTACATTTCATACTTCTTATGCAACAAATTGCTTCAGAGTTGGTGAAAATAATGTGGAAGGTTTTTAAAAGATGCTTTGCTATCTTCTTATTACAGATAAAAAATTTATCATTGCAAATGCCAGAGTGCAGAACTGTGCCATCATCTATTGCAATGATGGGTTCTGTGAGATGACTGGATTCTCCAGGCCAGATGTCATGCAGAAGCCATGCACCTGCGACTTTCTCCATGGGCCTGAGACCAAGAGACATGATATTGCCCAAATCGCCCAGGCATTGCTGGGGTCAGAGGAGAGGAAAGTGGAGGTCACCTACTACCACAAAAATGGTAAAGTTTATCTATTTTAGGATTCCTTATATTTGATTCCATTGGAAAGAAATTTTGATTATTAAAAGTTCATATGCTGAGAAGCCTCACATATTCAATTTTAGAAATATGCTTTCCTTTTTGTTTTTAGTACCCAAGAAATATGAGCATTCTTTTTTGTGGTCTAGTAGGAGCAATTTCTTCTTTGAATAAAGGTATTCTCTTTGAACTCTTTAAAAGTGCTGTAACTCAATGTCACTGAGGACAAAATGCTACAAGTCAGTCTTACACACTTTCCTCTCTAAGGAATAGTATAAAGACTAATATTTCACTGCTTGTGTTGCTACATATCTGTTAGGAGAGAAATACAGAATTTCATTTGCTTGAAATTGAAAACACAAAGCAAAGTCTTGTTGAAAACTTTATATCTGAAACTAAAACTATTATAGGTGTTTCTTGGCTCCTTAGTTTTATTTAATAGGCAACACCTCTTGTTTCTTTTGTCCATTTTTATACAAGATTAAGGATGATAAATAAGAACTTCTAAAATTGGTCCAGTTAACCTAGGTATGTTCAAATAACAATGATTGTTCATGTATTCAAGATTTTTCCTAAAATAAGAAGCACTGAAAAGGAACAATAATACTGTGGAGTTATTAGTATTCATTTTTACAGCTGTAGCAAAACTTGCATCTCAAACTTAAGGTCTTAAATCAACTTCAAGGGCACACCTTCTTCTTTTAAGCTTGTTAGGATAATAGACTTATGATAGTTATCTAAAAAATATACATTTAATGGACATGCATACCTTAAATACACAACATTTTTGTATATGAACCCATGTGTATGAATTCTCAGATATGCCCATTTTAAGGTGTATACATTCTCACATGTGGTAACTTAATACTTGACAATTTAGAACATAAAGATAAAATTATTTTAAAAATATACATGTTATAACTAATTTTGTTGATGTTGCATCAGAATGTATTTCTTTTTATTCCATTGACAGAAATTAGTGAGGCAAAGGGGTACCTGTTCAGAATTTTAGAAAACCCTTAAGTTTTTGGTAAAATGTGTGATGCGTTATAGCCTATATCATATAATGACTCATCATTTGGTAAACTACAGAGGAAAAAAACAGCAGAGAAAAGGTTTAACTCTTACTCTTATTGTTTTATAATTAAATGTTTCATGATAAAAATGTATAATTCATAATTACTAGATTTTCCTTAACATGAAACTTGAGTGAATATGCACAACAAAGCATTACTGGAAAAACAGGTTTGTATAATTTAGTATTAATCCAGAATGAAAGAAATTGTTTGATTATCAAACATCACAGAGATTGTTTTTAAAGTTCTTCCTATTTTTCCCTCACTTTCCAATCTGTAGTGTTGGCATACTAGAAATAGCCTAATTGTTCTGCTGTCTTGAAAACATTTATTGGACTGAGACTCTTGATACCCAAATGCAGCTCATCTCTTTTGTGTATCTGCTACCAACAATCTGGACTTTTGAAACAATTAGAATGTCTGACACTTTTTCTTATCTGAATATTTATCATAATGTCGACACAGTCTATATTATGGCTACTTCAGGAAATGTTGGTCCATCTTTGTTCATTATGTTTTCAAGAACATTTCAGATTATTTTCAACTTATGGAATTTAAGTATCGATTTAATTTGGACTGCCTAAATTACTTAGATACTAAAGATAGTTTTCAGTGTTTTTAGATAAAGTTGTTATCTGTTACACTGCAAGTAGAGTGGTGATGTTTTGAAACTTGTACAATGTGAGTGTGTAAAATGATCACAAAACACCTTAAAAAAGCAATTTAATATGGAATCATAAATGTGATTGTTAAATTTTCTGTAGTGAAGATAGATGTTGTACATTGACTAATGCAGATCTTTCTATCTGAATGATGTGCTCGGTTATATGAATCAAAAGTCCTCTGTTTTCAGAAAAAAAAATCTTTATTTGCAAGCTTGTTTAGGTATAGAAATATTAACCTTTGGTGACAATACTGTTTTCTGTAAACTTCATTTTCAGATGTGATTTAAGTCTTCAAAGACGTGGGTATCTTTAGAGTTAACAACAAACTCTGCCTATTTTGCTTTAATTTACATGGGACATATGAGGTGATGGCCTAAGCTTTTTCTTTTTTTCCAAATGAAAAAAAAATAAATCTGAATAACCTTTTTAGATTTCATGAAGACTCAGTCATATTTGTTTGCATTGACAGTAATAAGCTTTGTTCTTGCTGCTAGTTCAGATACCTTCTATGGAATCTTCAGAGCGCATTGGTTTTATTCATATGGCAACTGCAAATCAGTCAGAGCTTGTGAAGTTCAAAAGCTTTGAATTGATAGTCTTGCCTCTTAGACACCTACCAGCCAGTCTAAAAGCAGGAAGGGTGAAAAAATCACCATTTTTATAGGCTCATTTCTCATAGTTTTCTTAATTCTTTATTATTGAGCTCATTTACTTCTGAGAATTTCTTGATTTCTTAATTGTACACAGTAAGTGCCTCCTTATTCTTTTTTTTTTTTTTTTTGACATTTCACCGGAATATGAAGAGTGATCTAATAAGCACAATGAGCAAATTTACAAAAAGTTGATATATTCTGTTTCCACTTTTTCCATTTGCTTATACTGGAGTAGCAGATATATTATCAAGGCATTATTTCTGAAAGCTTGTTCTCCAGAGTGGCCCAGAGGCTACATAAGCAGTGTTAGCCCATGATCTATGCAATGAGTTCACAATGATGCAGTGAACAGTGAGCTGCATGGTCACCCCTGGGAAGCAACACTTCCTGCCATGCTCCTTTATGTGATTGTGCTAGGTGCAACTAGACGTACTGTTTACCAGAATATTAATTTTTAGAAAACTAGTTATTTGCAGTGGGGATATTTGACAGCTCTTCCTTTGAGAATTTTATTTTACAGTTTAAGTCATTATTGCATAAATCATTCTTGGCAGCTGTGAAATATTGCTTGAGGTGATAAAGCTGTAAATCTTTTGACATAAAACTCTAATTATACAAAATTATAATTATGCTGAGGCTTATATAAGGATGGGCATGTATTTTGATAACTTGATACATTTACTTTAAAAACATCTTTTTAGCAATTTATTGAGAAATAACAAAAACAATTCAGTTATTAACTGGCTCATAGTTTTTAGATGTTGAAAATAGAAAGAAAACAGGGGAAGAAAATCAGTTTAGTTGGCATTCCCCAACTTTACTGTTCATCCGGTTTGGAGTATGTCATGGAAGGGAGCTAGCTAGTTGAAGTGTTAAACCCCTTCAGGCATATTTAGATATGTGACTTTGACCTTAAATTACCAAACAACTTTAAAGATTTGGAAAATCAAAGTAAATTTCTCCAGGATAAATAAAGGTCTTAAATTAGTAGGAAAGCAGGACTTAAAATCTATTATTTTTAGAGGTCAGAGCATTCCTGTGTTTTTGCCATCATGGTTTCAGACTCAGTACCATGGCAGTTTTGTTAACAAACTAGAAATGTGTAGGGCTATTTTTCTTATCTTCCTGTTGCTTTTAAAGAAATGAAGAATGAGAAGGGGCTGAGGGAAGTCCGTGCCTAATCCAGACAGTGCAAAGCTTCAGAAGCAGTGCTTGATTCAACTAAATGAAAAGAGGCCTTGGTCTGATAACAGTGAATCTACCATGTCTGAGAATTATGCAGTAAGACCTTCTGGAAATGGCTGTGTTTTGCGGAGTAAAGGTGAAGATGCATATTGAGTGCCACCTCTCTCTAACTGTTGTATCAGGCACTAGAAAAACAATAGGAAGAGATGCAAAGGAGGATACAAACTGATTTGCTGCTTTCAGGACATTTGTACGATAGTGTGACTAACATTCATTTCTATCTTCTAAACCTTGGATGTTTTCATAACATTGTTTTTAAAAGAAAAAAAATATATGGACTATGAAAAGAAGAAGCTTTTACATAAACGGAGAACCTATAAAATTTAGTGTTAATCACTCTTCTTTCTCTGTTCTCCAACTTTAAAATAAACTTGCTTATGTATATCTGTCACCTGTTGTCATGCATACACAATAATAACTTGTTAAAGAAGCAATACCGTTTAGTTAAAATTTTAATATTAAAAACATAAGTCTCATAATAGCTTTATATGTTATGTGGCATGTAAAATATTCAGCGCTCCTAATTCTTGGATTGTGTAGAAGAGAGGTGCAGATGGTAGTTTTTTAGACAAGGACAGAAATATATTTTATGTGTATGTAATTCAAGCAATAAGAAAGATTTCCAGGGAGTATCTTGTCTAGAATTTGCTTGGGTGTTCGTTTTATCTTTCTGTTTATACATTTTCATGTTCTGTTCAGTAGGATATTATATTAAGAACAACAGTAATCTGAAAATTCATTTTTCCCCATATACCTAAATTTTATAACATCTCATGAACTTTGGATATTATATAGAATTCAAATTGGATCAATTGTAACTGACAATAAGAACTCTCAAGAAACACCCCTTCCCAGAATTTGAAAACTTTATTTCAGTATTGTCTGAAGTGAAACCAAAATATCCTAAAACTGTGGATGAGCTCTATTCATCAGTTTTGTGGGTTTTTTTTTCACTACCCACCCACCAACACCATACCTCCATGCAGCTCTGGTGCCAACAAGAAGTGATGTTTTTGACCAACTTGAGAAATGACTTCCCAATTATTTTCACATCTAAGGGGCTTGAAAACAGGTCAGTTTAGGACTATAGTCATAGGATAGGCTTACTGGGAAGAATTTGCTTCTACTGGCCTCCTTTTGGTGTATACTTGGAGAATAACATCTACTTTGTTTGGTTGTTGGGGTTTTGTTTTGGTTTTGTGTTTGCTTGTTTGGTATAAATAGTCACTGAATCCATTCCTGATAGCCAGCCTGACAGGAGAGTCCTGGGATAGTTGAGTCACAGGGAAGTGGTACTTGGAGTATGAGGTACTGAGGCATCAGCATTTACTTGGGCACCTAAA